GAATATTCCAACTTATAAGTCACCAGGACCTGATGGTGTGGCTGGAGAATTTCTTAAAGCTTCTAGTAATTATATTGTACCCTTTCTTACTTCCATATTTAATGAAATATTTGACAGTGGTAACTTATTATATGCCCGTTATTTAAATCTGGCTGTAAAGATGACCCTAATAATTATAGAGGCATATCCCTCATTGACTCTGTTTGTAAAATATTTACTTCTATTTTGAATAAATGTCTTCAGAAATGGTGTGATATTAATGAAATTATTAGTGACTCCCAAGCAGGTTTTAGAGCTAATTATTCTACAATTGATCAAATATTTTCCCTCCAGGCTTTAATTCAGAAATATTCTTGTAAACAGAAGGGTAGGTTTTATTGTCTTTTCATTGATTTTTCCAAAGCATTTGACACTATTAAACATGATGTTTTACTTCAATCTCTCTCTGAAGTTGGTATATGTGGTAACTTATTTAATGTTATAATAACAATGCATCAGAATTTATCAGCTTGTGTTAGAACTTCAAATGGCTTGTCCAAATGTTTGTCTTGTAATATTGGTACCCGTCAGGGTTGTGTTTTAAGCCCACAAGTATTTATTATCTTCATGAACAAGTTATGTACTTTAATGGAACTGGAGGGTGGTTCAGGTGTAACAGTTTCTTCAGATTTTAATAATGTATGTTCACTTGTTTGCTGATGATGTTGCAGCCTTGTCTGATTCATGTAACCGATTACAGAAAAAGAATAGTGTTCTTGAGAAGTTTTGTAAATCTACTGGTATGTCAGTTAATCTTAAAAAGACTAAGATTCTTGTTTCTTAAATGGCGGGCTTCTAAGAGATTATGAAAAATAGTATTATGATGGTAAACAAATTGAATCTGTATCATTTATAAATATTTAGGACTTGTATTTACACCAAAACTTGTATGGAGTTAAGTTGTCTTGTTTCTCAGGCCAATAAGGCATTATTTTTTGTAAATACCTTTCAGTAAAAATGGGAAGTGTCAATTGTAAAGATTTGTTTAAAATATTTGATTGTATGATCTCACCTTTATTATGTTATGGCGCTGAAGTTTGGGGCACCAGTTATTGTAAACTCATAGAGTCTGTACAAATTAAATTTTGTATTTTTTTTTAAAAGTCGGTAAATCAACTTGTAATCATGTGGTACTTGATGAATGTGGTAGACACACTTTACAAATTGTATATATGACTAAGGTTATCAAATATTGGTGTCATTTATTGTACTTACCCCCAAATAGACTCCAAAAACACTGTTATCAAATGCTGAAAGCATTAGATGATGTTGGACGTGCAACTAATGTTAAAAATATTTTATTTATTTATGGTCTTGGCTATGCATGGGTCAGTCAGGATATTGGAAATGTTAAGTATTTCATGTTTCTTTTAAAACAAAGACTGACTGATCATTTAAAGCAATCGTGGTATACTTCCATTGAAAATTCACACAACACTATTTATTATTGTCAGTATAAAACACTATTAGATGTAGAAAAATACTTAAATTGTAACATTTGTTTAAATTTGAGATCTGCACTTTCAAACTTCAGATGTGGAAATTTTAACTTAGCAATAGAGATTGGGAGATATGAAAATATTTCTTCTAATGAAAGATTTTGTTTATTTTGTACATCAAAAGGTATTAATATTAATGTTGTTGAAGATGAGTGGCATATTTTGTATATCTGTGCATGTTTTTCTGATGTTCGAGATAAATATATTGTGAAATATTTTAGTCAACCTCCTACAATAAACAACTTTATAAATATTATGCAGTCTACCAATGCTGATATGATTAAGAATGTAAGTCTATTTTTATATAATGTACAAATTAGAATTAAGAGCAGAGCTTGTTTATAACTCTATGTGTACCATTTATGTGATGAGTGACGATGCATCTGTCTGTATTATGGACCAGTGGCCTTTTACTGAATAAACCTGTCTGTCTGTCTGTCTGTCTGCTACGATCAGCAATATTCCAGCTATATGACGGCGGACTGTGAATAACTGAGTCTGGACCAGACAATCCGGTGAGTAACATGAACATCAGTCTTCGCAATTGTGACCTGACCACCCGATCCCGTTAGTCGCCTCTTACTACAAGCATGGGGTGCTGAAGATTAATTGGCTCTGAACAGGCGAGTGAGTTTGGCTTAATACAGTTTTGAGCAGTGTATATGTTTCAGTTATATCACGACTTGTTAGCTTGATATGGCATCAAAGCCTCAATAATAGGGTTCTGGCTCACCCAAAAGACGCAACTCTATAAGTTCTTGTATTTTTGTACCAAGTTTTCATAAACGCGAGATCATGACATTGGCGAAAGAGGAAAAGAAACGTCAGGCATATCTAAAGTTGCGATAACTGCGCACGACTATATACTGAACAGTATTGCAATAGTTGGTGAGTTACTCAGTGCACTTCAACGTCTATGCTGGCAATATTTTACTCATTACACAGTCTATGCTGGCGATATCTTACTCCACTTCACCGTCTGTTCTAGCAATATATTACTCTTCACCGCTATCTGTTCTGGTAATAAATACTCCACTAAATCGTCTGTGCTGACGTCACCGTTTGTTCTGTTCTGGCAATATTATACTCCACGTAATCATCTATTCTGACAATATTTTACTCCGCGTCATCATCTGTTCTGGCAATATTTTACTCCACTTCATCAACTGTTCTGGCAATATTTTACTCCACTTCATCATCTGTTCTGGCAATATTTAACTCCATTTCATCAACTGTTCTGGCAATATTTTACTCCACTTCATCATCTGTTCTGGCAATATTTAACTCCACTTCATCATCTGTTCTGGCAATATTTTACTCCACTTCATCAACTGTTCTGGCAATATTTTACTCCACTTCATCATCTGTTCTGGCAATATTTAACTCCATTTCATCAACTGTTTTGGCAATATTTTACTCCACTTCATCATCTGTTCTGGCAATATTTTACTCCACTTCATCAACTGTTCTGGCAATATTTTACTCCACTTCATCATCTGTTCTGGCAATATTTTACTCCATTTCACCGTTATTTCTAACAACTCCTCTTCACCGCCATCTGTTCGGGCAATACTCCACTAAACCGTCTGTGCTGACAATATTTTACTTCACTTCGCCGTCTGTTCTAGCAATATTTTACTCCTCTTCTCCACCATCTGTTCTGGCAATATTTTACAACACTTTGACATCAGTTCTGACACTATATTACTTCACCACCTGTTCTGGTATTTTATGCCTCTTCACATTTGTTCTGACAAAAACATGTTTTTCCCACTTCACCATCACTTTTGGCACTGAGATTTGTTCCTCTAATTCACCATGTTTTCTCTCGACCTCAGTCACGTCATGTTGTTTACGGCTGGAAGGTTTCATGGTTTGAAGCCCAGCTCAAACCCGCATTGTGAACAGAAAGGACGCATAGAAGAAGGGTCAAAAGAGCAGGATTGTGATATTGCAAACAGAGGGTTACGAAGCTTTTTAAGGTATTCACTTAACTATATAGATATGACACCATGAAACGAGAAATGAACATCTTCAGTTGTATCCACAGAGTAAGAAAGCCCATTGAAGTATCCATTTGCGACGGATTCTGCAGGTAGATTGATTCTTCGTAGCTTTGTGGTTTGTTTGTTGCTTAACGCCACACTAGGACACTTAACGCAACCAGACAAATTCGGGATTGGTAGTACGGTCGAGGTTTCGAAGTTGAAAGGCCCCAATAAAGGGCTATCCGAAGTTCGATGCAACCCAAAAACGACGTAGAATACGCATGGAACAAGCTTTTACTTCTCGACAAACGTATGTTCGATACATAAAACGTTGACCGTGATCGCTTCTTAAATGCCCAATGTCGCTCATTAATACATCTTCTGTTTAGAGTTACTTCAATATCAGTAAAAATAAATACTAAACATATTGAACATTGAACATTGAAATAGAAAGGGGACAAGAATATTGTACATGCGCACACAAGCTGTGACAATGACCCCCCGAAATACTCCTGTTCTCACATAGCTCAGATATGCATTCATCTAACTGCAAATATGTGTGTTCCACATTTAGAGAAAATGAGACATTTTGAACACCACGCGTAACTGATTAACGCAATCAGTGTTCACACGTATTTTTACGCACTGATAAATTGATTTTGTGAAAATAGAAACGTTAGGAGAAAGTTAGCATAAATCTGCCTGTGACCAAGTTTCCAAGTTCTGCAGGATACTTGTTTGAAGTAATCAGTTAGAAGATTTGTTGAACTTTGGAACGAATATGGAAAAAACGTGAATGAAAACGAAAGTAACTCACGACAAGCATGTTATAATTATGAAAATAATTAAATGCAGCTCAACGATGATGACTTAACCAAGTATCGCTTATTCAATGGCGATGTATTGGATCCGGTGTAGCAGCCCAGAATAAACCCCCCACCCCCACCAGATTATACCCCGGGGTAAACGATAGGCTAGCACAGTTTATACCCCGAGGTATATTCTGGACCACGCCAAAGTATACCCCTCCAGCCCAGACTATACCACTAAACAGTACTGTAACTAAACTGTAACGTTACCACAACACTTCTCTGCAACAAATGCAGCCTTTTATTCATGATTGGCATGCCTGTGATGTATTCTCTTGACTTTTGCAGAAACGTATAACTATAACCTCGTACGATTTCCATTAAATAATGCTTATCTAGGAATGAGTTATGTCCCTTAGCCTTCTCAGGATCCAATGTCGAGGGTTCGATTACTGACCGAGGACGTTCCGTCACAACAATACCCGTGTCTGCGGGTTTCTTTACGGGGTTTAGGTGTATGTCCTGACACACACAGGCCACAGTATCTCGACACACCTTGCTATAACTATGATGTTCACAGAAGCGTGAAACCCCGTTCATACACTCCCCAACTCCTAACGTAGGAAATAACTGATACTACAACTCAGCATTCAATGGGTTAATGTTGTAAATGACATAACGCTACCTATCCAGTCAGGTCAACTTGGCCCTGACACGATGAAAGAACAACTGGTGTTGGGATCCGGGTCTATTTCTGTTTATATTCAACTCTGTCAAAAGGCCTTTCAGATAATATGGACTGAGAGGCTTATGCAAGTTTTCCTCACGTGACACGAACACGGATGTCGGAAATATTCGGAGCCTTCTTTGAAGGTAAGACGTTTGTTCAACAGATAATAACATATATTATCGAGATTGGATGCAGGACTATCATGTCAAATTATCACGAAGACGCTCTGATGTCCTGTACTATGTGTACAACGTATGATGTATCGATGGTCTACTCTTGTATATTGCCATTGCCTTGCTAAACGTGTATTTGCTTTTACGTATTCTGCCGATTTGCATTAGTGAAAATAAGTAAAACGTGTCTTTTATGTTGTGATAAAGTGTTTAGTAACATCTTAAATTATGTTTTACATTTTTGCTTGCAAAGTAACACAAGTACGAGAAATATGCCACGATTAACAGCTGAAGAGAGATAAAGAGCCATTGGGGTGGTGCAGATGGGGTCGACATACAATGTTGTTGCCAGCGTCCTTGGATGCCACCATATCACGGTTATAAGACTTATTCAGCGCTACAGATAGACTGTCACCGTAGACAGACCAAGAAGTGGGCGTCCACGCATCACTACGCCAGCTGAATATAGGTACCTCCGTCTTGCAGGAATCCGGAAACGTTTCTTTTGGCGTTTAGTGTATGTGCTGTGACGTATTGTAAGATTACACGTGTATGTGCTGTGATGTATTATGAACCTTCAGCTGTAATGTATTGTAAGATTACACGTGTATGTGCTGTGATGTGTTGCAAGACTACACATGTATATGCTGTGACGCATTGTAAGACTACACGTTGTGATGTATGTGCTGTGATGTATGTGCTGTGATGTATTGTAAGACTACACGTGTATGTGCTGTGATGTATTGTAAGACTACACGTGTATGTGCTGTGATGTATTGTAAGACTACACGTGTATGTGCTGTGATGTATTGTAAGACTACACCTGTATGTGCTGTGATGTATTGTAAGACTACACGTGTATATGCTGTGATGTATTGTAAGACTACACGTGTATGTGCTGTGATGTATTGTAAGACTACACGTGTATGTGCTGTGATGTGTTGTAAGACTACACGTGTATGTGCTGTGATGTATTGTAAGACTACACGTGTATGTGCTGTGATGTATTGTAAGACTACACGTGTATGTGCTGTGATGTATTGTAAGACTACATGTGTATGTGCTGTGATGTATTGTAAGACTACACGTGTATGTGCTGTGATGTATTGTAAGACTACATGTGTATGTGCTGTGATGTATTGTAAGACTACACCTGTATCAGCTGTAATGTATTGTAAGATTACACGTGTATGTGCTGTGATGTGTTGTAAGACTACACGTGTATGTGCTGTGATGCATTGTAAGACTACACGTGTATGTGCTGTGATGTATTGTAAGACTACACGTGTATGTGCTGTGATGTATTGTAAGACTACACGTGTATGTGCTGTGATGTATTGTAAGACTACACGTGTATGTGCTGTGATGTATTGTAAGACTACATGTGTATGTGCTGTGATGTATTGTAAGACTACACGTGTATGTGCTGTGATGTATTGTAAGACTACATGTGTATGTGCTGTGATGTATTGTAAGACTACACGTGTGTATGTGCTGTGATGTATTGTAAGACTACACGTGTATGTGCTGTGATGTGTTGTAAGACTACACGTGTATGTGCTGTGATGTATTGTAAGACTACACGTGTATGTGCTGTGATGTATTGTAAGACTACACGTGTGTGCTGTGATGTGTATTGTAAGACTACACGTGTATGTGCTGTGATGTATTGTAAGACTACATGTGTATGTGCTGTGATGTATTGTAAGACTACACGTGTATGTGCTGTGATGTATTGTAAGACTACATGTGTATGTGCTGTGATGTATTGTAAGACTACACGTGTATGTGCTGTGATGTATTGTAAGACTACACGTGTATGTGCTGTGATGTATTGTAAGACTACACGTGTATGTGCTGTGATGTATTGTAAGACTACACGTGTATGTGCTGTGATGTATTGTAAGACTACACGTGTATGTGCTGTGATGTATTGTAAGACTACACGTGTATGTGCTGTGATGTGTTGTAAGACTACACGTGTATGTGCTGTGATGTATTGTAAGACTACACGTGTATGTGCTGTGATGTATTGTAAGACTACACGTGTATGTGCTGTGATGTATTGTAAGACTACACGTGTATGTGCTGTGATGTATTGTAAGACTACATGTGTATGTGCTGTGATGTATTGTAAGACTACACGTGTATGTGCTGTGATGTATTGTAAGACTACACGTGTATGTGCTGTGATGTATTGTAAGACTACACGTGTATGTGCTGTGATGTATTGTAAGACTACACGTGTATGTGCTGTGATGTATTGTAAGACTACACATGTATGTATGTGTATGTGATGTGAATGTGCTGTGATGTATTGTAAGACTACACGTGTATGTGCTGTGATGTATTGTAAGACTACACGTGTATGTGCTGTGATGTATTGTAAGACTACACGTGTATGTGCTGTGATGTATTGTAAGACTACACGTGTATGTGCTGTGATGTGTTGTAAGACTACACGTGTATGTGCTGTGATGTATTGTAAGACTACACGTGTATGTGCTGTGATGTATTGTAAGACTACATGTGTATGTGCTGTGATGTATTGTAAGACTACACGTGTATGTGCTGTGATGTGTTGTAAGACTACACGTGTATGTGCTGTGATGTATTGTAAGACTACACGTGTATGTGCTGTGATGTATTGTAAGACTACACGTGTATGTGCTGTGATGTATTGTAAGACTACACGTGTATGTGCTGTGATGTATTGTAAGACTACACGTGTATGTGCTGTGATGTGTTGTAAGACTACATGTGTATGTGCTGTGATGTATTGTAAGACTACACGTGTATGTGCTGTGATGTATTGTAAGACTACATGTGTATGTGCTGTGATGTATTGTAAGACTACACGTGTATGTGCTGTGATGTGTTGTAAGACTACATGTGTATGTGCTGTGATGTGTTGTAAGACTACACGTGTATGTGCTGTGATGTATTGTAAGACTACACGTGTATGTGCTGTGATGTATTGTAAGACTACACGTGTATGTGCTGTGATGTATTGTAAGACTACACGTGTATGTGCTGTGATGTGTTGTAAGACTACACGTGTATGTGCTGTGATGTATTGTAAGACTACACTGTGATGTATTGTACGTGTATGTGCTGTGATGTGTTGTAAGACTACACGTGTATGTGCTGTGATGTGTTGTAAGATTACACGTTTATGTGCTGTGATGTATCGTAAGACTACACGTGTATGTGCTGTGATGTATTGTAAGACCTACACGTGTATGTGCTGTGATGTGTTGTAAGACTACACGTGTATGTGGTGTGATGTATTGTAAGACTACACGTGTATGTGATGTGATGTGTTGTAAGACTACACGTGTATGTGCTGTGATGTATTCTAAGACTACACGTGTATATGTTGTTATGTATTGCAAGATTACACGTGTATGTGCTGCGATGTATTGTAAGACTACATGTTTATATGATGTTATGTATTCTAAGACTACACGTGTATGTGCTTCAATGTGTTGTAAGACTACACGTATATTTTGCTGTGAATTGTCCTATACATTGTGTTATATACACACCATTCAGGGTTAACACACCCCAGGTCCCGTGGTTTTCTTCTCCATGTATTGTAAACAGCCTGGTGAATGTGAATGTAATGTTGAGTAAGCGCCAGTCACATACCTGTTATGGCTGAATGTGTAAGCCTTAGAGAAAGAGTAAGAGAAAGCTTTGACGGTGTACAGACCAAACAAAATTTTATTAGTGTTGTTTTGTTTGTCTTATTGTTCTTAGCGTCATACATTGACCATCGATGTAAGCAATAGCGACATGCTTTAACCCAAGTCGGCATCCAGCCTGTTAGTTGCTGAACACTAACTGTTAGCCGTGTATTCGTAGCTCATAACAGAAGTAAGATACATGTACGTAGTATTTTACCTTAGTCAATGTAACAATACAAATACTTATTTTCAAGTTTAAGAAATAGGAGATTGAATGTTTAAGCGGCCTGACACTGGTCAATGTACGTGCAGCTGTGAGGTTTTGAAGACTTGCTACATACCTGTCACAGCTGAATGTAAAATAGGAGCTGCATATATATAGTTTTGCACACTCATAGAAGAAACTAGGTGAGACGCCCGATCTACTTCATTGTTACCAAGTGATATAAATCTGAATATATAAAAAAGATGTTACACAGTAAAATCAATATGTTTGTAAATCTCAAATTCATTATATTATTTGCCTGACCGCTCTTTTTCTACTTGAGGTTGGAGATGAACACACATACATACACACATAAATACAAACATACATACAAACATACATACACACATACATGCACACATAAATACACACATAAATACATACACACACATACATACATACACACATACACTCATACATACACACATAAACACACACATACACACACACACATACATACACACATAAATACACACATAAATACACACACATACATACACACATAAATACACATACATACACACATAAATACACACATACATACACACATAAACACACACATATACACACACACATACACATACAAACACACATATAAACACAAACATACATACACACATACACACACACATACATACACACTTATACATACATACATACATACATACATACATACATACATACATACATACATACATACATACATACATACATACATACATACATACATACATACATACATACATACATACATACATACATACACACATAAATACGCACGGAAGGCCTTACAGACTATTTGATTCATCCAAGTGTGGTGTAGTTCTGTTTATCTCTGTACAAGCATGGTAGCAGTAACTAAATCCTTCGTGCTAGAAAGGGGTAAGCAATATAATATTTGGACCAATTCCCAAATCAGGAAACTTGGGTATCACAGATTAGAGGCTCAATCTTATTTGTTCATTGTGTTCTCTTCTGAAATATATTCTTGATAACTCTTGAAATACATTTTTGTGAAAATATTGATATTACACTCATTTCCAAATGAGTGTGTGTGTGTGTGCGCGTGCGCGCGTGCCCTAATTCATCAGTATGTGGTACAGTGTGTTAGTGAGCAAACATTTAACATCAGATTGGCCAAATATAGACGTGAAGAGGTATGCTAAATATCTATCCCAAAGGACAGTAAAACATTCACAAGATTCAAGAGAATTGTATTCCTTTTTACCAGTCTAGAAGTAAACATATGAACTGACGTCGATAAAACCATCCTGTAATATGTATCCCCCGTGAGACAATATTTCAATCAAGCTCAATTACACAACAATAAAATTTCAAGAAAATATGGTTGATTAAAAGAAACACCTTTCACTGGCTCCTGGAATGACAGAGACATGAAAAGATGGCAAATGGTTTATTATTTGGCTGATGATGCCTATACTCCAACACTGTCAGAATAGCCTTTGGTTCAGCACTGTAAATTGAGCTATTGTCTGGCATTCTGAAAACAATGTTTCAGGCCCAATTAAAATGACACTTAATACTTTGATTCCATTAGTCATCCATGAAATCTCTTATCAACATCAATAACCATAATGGATATAACTGAATAATTGGAAATTTGGATCTTTGCCATTTGGAAGACAATTCCAATGTATGATAGTTCCAATATTGTGTTATGGTACTGAAACCTTTGAAACTTCATGCAAAAAGTCAATAGAAGGCCTACCGATATTATTCTGCAAAAGGTGTCTCAAACAAAATATAAATACTACTAATGACATGGGTGTCGTTGTTCAAAACAACCATAGCGCTTAGATTATCGTACCTCCTTACGTTTTTGCTAAGGTTGACGTCCCGTTGCACAAATCTACCTTACACTAAGGTAGCTTTAGTTAAGGTGAACATTTAAGGTTAGTCTGATTGACCTTAGTGTGGATAATGTTGAAGTTTCAAGTAATTTCAACATGGCTGCATTCTTGATGATGTGTGATGAAACTGGTAGAAGCGTCATTTGGTGTAGAGCGGTGTCGAGTATTACCGAACAGCTAACACCATATCATATCTAATTCCTGTTGTGTTTTATTATATGAAGCAATAAGTAATAGTAACAAAGGACTGTTCAGTGGGAATACTATTGACGCACAAAGGTAAATAAATCCTGTCGACCAATCCTGTTGCTGATGGATATTTCACATCTTCAAATTTTCAATTGTCCCCCTTGCCAACTCGTCTGAACACCCTTGTCGGGCTATTCCGAACAGTCATGTCGGTCTATTCCGAACACCCATGCCGGGCTATTCCGAACAGTCGTCGGGCTATTCCGAACAGTATTCATGTCGGTCTATTACCGTCAGTCATTTGTCGGAACAGCCATGTCGGTCTATTCCGAACAGTCATGTCGGGCTATTCCGTTAATGTGTCTGCATATGCTAACGATAACAGGAAGTATTATATTTGTAAAGAATGTATTGACGACAATATACTGAAATTCTAACAAAGATGTAACTAACACAAAATACCGCCCCAAATTCCAAATATGTCAGACAGTTAACATTTGTTACAACTGTTAATTGAACGGCCACTAATAGTCTGCTCAGAATAACTCTGACAGTCAAATGCTTTTAAAGCCTGAAAACAAAGCAACAAGCATGATTTGTATTTCCTCAGTATTGCATAATGATTGGCCAGGTGCGCATTTGTCAGTAACGTTTTAGGATTCACTCAATGTTGTTGATGATAAAATCAATTCATATTCGAACAAAAATATTGTGAAGGCATGATATCTAACTAACCATATTTCTACAATATGGACAATTTTTTAATAAAATGAAACCATACCACATCTTCCTTTGGACAAACTTTACATAATTATTCTGATCGTTCCATACCAAAAAGATTTCTTTTTGCAAATTTCATTGATAGACTTGATATACTTATGATGGCAAATAGCCCAAAAAATTATAAACAAAGAAAAGACTTATTCTTAAACATATATTTGTATGTTATAAATGAAACGAATTCACCTCCACCATAATACACTACTATATCTGGCTTACATCGTACTGTGGCGGTGGGGTAGTGGTTAAAGCGTTCGCTCCTCACGCCGAAGACCCGGGTTTGACTCCCCACATGGGTACAATGTGTGAACGCCATTTCTGGTGTCCTCCACCGTGATATTGCTAGAATATTGCTAAAACTAAACTCACTCACTCGTACTGACATTTTGACGAAGCTGGAAGGCATACACATAGGGTATTTAAATAAATAACATCAAATCCCAGATATTTTATATTGTGTCTTTCTGACTGTATCTTATGCCATGACCTCTATTTCCGTATATCATGATGTACCAGATTTTGGATGATGAAACTATACAGTTCTCTAACCTTTGATGAGTCAGGATTGAGCAGATATTTTCTGACAATTTAGACGAACACTGACATTCATGCACATCAGAAATGCAATTATAAATCACAACGATAAATCTCGCAAAATCCACTGTATCGTATGGAAACGCTCCCGGTTAAGGTACGTGTGTTGTAAATAGACATTTTTCATTTTCAACCCATGTTGGCGACCAAGAGGAGTTAACTCTTCCTGTCATATTCCACGTACCATACCTAGATTATTACTCAGAGGACAGGGTTTAAGTCAAACTTCTAACTGACGGTTGACCTGACAAGCATTTTATTTTGGCTGGCAAGCATATATTTTGTGCCAGTGTTAGCCATTTATTTTCCAAATTGATGTTGAAAATACACAGTTCTAGGAATGAAGCTGTTCAGCCTTATAAAATTCTCTCAAACATTGTTGCGAAGCATGATCGAAGCAGGCCATTCACTTACTAATGAAAATGTCAGCAAATTCGTTGAATACATAGAACTACCGTAATCAGTATATGTACACTGGAGAAGCACACAGAATTTGAATTATGTTTGAAAATGCAGAAAGAAGGAGTAACATTTTTACGAAGCATTAAAATTTTCCCTTAAATTGATAATTTGATTTTAATGTTTAATATTTCAGGTTCAAGAAGCATCAACAATAATGACTGAAGCAGCAATAGCGTTTGTTCACAAAGTGAAGGACGCATTACATAAACTGGCTGACGCTCTGGACGCAGACGATGCACGTTATGCCAAAATTGCTGGAAGAAACTTTGTTGTGAACATAACAGGAGGAACCATTGTAACTGCGAGTGTTGGAGGTGTCTTTGGTCTCTCGCTTCTTGGTTTCTCTCTTGCCACAGTGGTTCCCGCCATAGCTCTAGTTGGGATGGTTTTGGGAAGTGGCATTGGCGCTGTTGGTGCGTATACAAGGTATGCAGAAAATGCATCATTCACATCCCATGTGAAAGAAGCACAAGCCATCTTTGACGAGTATTCACAGTACCTAAAAAAACAGAGCCCACTTGGAAGTTGTGACATCAGAGCAGTTAGGAATTTAGGGGAAATGATTGATGTGACATCTCTGGTACTGACGCTCAAAGACGGAAACACGATGAAAGGGAGTGATGCTATGGCCTTCTTAAAGAAAAATCAACCGTATTCAAGGGCTACAGTCACATTTAGCGTAGGAGTGTATGTCAAGAAGAACAAAACTCAATACAATTCGGATCTCACAAATACAATTCGTAAGAGGGCCAATGACCTTATGAACTGTGGGGGGATTTGGACGACATACACTTTGGCTGACGAAAAAAAATAATGCAATGTTTTTTTCCTGAGGTTTAACATTATTATAACTGATTTGTTTGGCAAAAGTTTGTTGGGACATCTAATTTGGGCGCAAACTGTTACACGTTCGTCAGGTCCCATCCAAAACGTTACACAATGAGTTTCTAACCGACTGTTTCGTGTTAATGTGTCAGTTGGTTTGTAGGTTTGTAGGTTTGTAGGATGTTATACATTAGGATTTACGTGTTCTGTATTTTGTTAACGTCCTTATGGATTTCAGTGAACTTGGTTTCCTTTCAACTAAGACTGCCAATAATTCCAATAATATACACACTGAGACGTGGACGAATTGGCTTTGAACACACGGAGACGTGAGCCAAGACGTTCTGTGATGTATTGGCCAGGATACATGTTTACGCCATGGCTGTTGCAGCGTTCTTCTCAGTGTGTTGTTAACAGTCTGAATGTGAATCTTCTGCTGTATATGCCCTAGTTTCTTACCTGTAATAGTTGAATTTGAAATAAGAGCTTCAAATGTATACTGGCGGAAAAAAGTTACCGTGCATAGCATAAAAGAACACCACATCGCTTCAAGGGCGTGTCACGATGCCCAATGTCAAATCATACAGATTTCAGGATTATCCTGTCAGTAGCTAAACAGTGATTAAGGAAAACACCACAATTCATGTTATTATGTTTTTGCATTAAAATGACATAACATCAAATTATGTACAGATTATTCATTCCCGTAGTATATATACTGTAATTTTTAGGTTTAGATGATGACGTCATTTCTCCAACCACGCAGTGAATAGACCAAGTAAATTTATTGTAACATAGGTTTATTTGTTTAATTGTTGTTTAATGCCGCACCCTGCAACACCCCCTTTGTTTACGGTGGTCTGTGAATAATCGCGTCTGGATCAGTCAATCCAGTGAGTGACATGCATCAACCAAGTTATCAAGCCTGACTAGCCGATCCCAATAGCTGCCGAAGACCAATTGTAACCCGGATATACCTTGGTCATTACAGAGCTGAGATTATGATATTATTATACTAGTCATAAACAGATGTGTATTGTCTAAACAGTCGCACGTCCTGAAGCACTATTTTACCTTAGCCAGTATAACAATACCAAGTCAGGCGTAGGAGACTGAATGTTTAAGCGGTCAGAGACAAGTCAATGTCTGTGCAGCAGAGATATCTGAAACCAGTGTGTTGTAAAACTACACGTATATGTACCGTGATGTATTGTAAGACTTCACGTGTATATGTTGTGACGTATTGTAAGACTACACGTGTATGTGCTGTGATGTATTGTAAGACAAGACGTGAATGTGCTGTGGTGTATCGTAAGACTACGTGTGTATGTGTTGTGATGCATTGAAAGACTACATGCGATGTGCTGTGATATATTGTAAGACTACATGTGGATGTACTGTGATGTATTGTAAGACTACACGTGAATGTGCTGTGATGTATTATGAGACTATACGTGTATGTGCTGTGATGTATTGTAAGACTACATGTGTATGTGCTGTGATGTGTTGTAAGACTACACGTGTATGTGTTGTGATATCTTGTAAGACTACACGTGAATGTGCTGTGATGTATTATGAGACTATACGTGTATGTGCTGTGATGTATTGTAAGACTACATGTGTATGTGCTGTGATGCATTGTAAGACTACACGTGTATGTGCTGTTTTGTATTGTAAGACTACACGTGTATGTGTTGTGATATGTTGTAAGACTGCACGTGAATATGCTGTGATGTCTTGTAAAATTTCACGCATAATTTACTGTGATTTATTGTAGGGGGGCATCGAGTTTTAGGGTTAACAGACCCCGAGGTTTTCTTCTCAATTTATTGTTAACTGTCTTGTGATCTAATGTTGTCTGTGCACCAGCCACGTACCTGTCACAGCTGAATGTAATATAGGTGCTTCAAATATATAAACTGTAAGGTTTTGATTAAGATGACGGTGAATAAATCAATAATATTGTATTAACATTGTTTTTTTGTTTAATTGTTGTTAGCCCCACACTCAGCAATATCCGTTTTTACGGTTATCTGTTTATATTCGAGCCTGGACCTGTCATGATAGAATACGGAAAGGTATTGATTCACTATGCCCTGTTCTGAAATATATTCTGGATAACAGATTAAATGTATCCTTTTGTGAAAATATGGATTTTACCCAGAAATCTCAAGCGAACAAGCTGCATAATAAAAGCTATCAAAAGGGCATGTAGAGGCGAGCGCGCACGTGTATGAGTGTGTGTATGTGTGTGTGTGTGTTTTTTCTAATCCATCACCATGTCACAGTGTTTGAATGAGCAAACATTTAACGTCACATCGGCCAAATATAGACGCGAAGAGTTATGCTAAATATCTATCGCAGGGGCAGTAAAACATTCACAAGCTTCACAAGGGACAATGGTAATATTATTTATCTTATTACATCAACCTAATTAAACCTCTATTAATCAAAATGTATCGAACAAATCTTTTTTCTTTTTAACAGCCTAGAAGTAAACGTGAACTGATCATCCTGTGAAGATGAAAAAACTTTTTAATATGTATCCCTTGTCAGAGAATATTTCACAGTCAGACTGAAAGTCGGCCAGTAGAAAGATCATGATACAGCTTTAAAATTTCAATAACATATGTTTGATTAAAAGAAACATCTTCCAGAGGCTGATGGAATGACAGGGAACAAGAAAAGATGGCAAATGGTTTATTATTTGGCTGATGATGCTTATACTCCAACACTATCAGAATAGCCTTTAGCTTCAGCAGTGTAAATTGAACTATTGTCTGGTATTCTGAAAACTGTGTTTTAGATCCGTTTGATTCTTGATCCAGTTCGTCATCCATGAAATCGTCTCTCAATAATCACAATGGATATAACTGGATAATTGGAAATGTGGATCTTTGCCATTTGAAGACAATTCCAATGTATGATAGTTCCAATATGGTGTTATGGTGCTGAAATCTTTGAAACTTCATGCAAGAGGTCAATAGAAAACGTACAGATAGTTTTCTTAAAAAGGTGTCCCCAACTGAATATGAATACTCCAAATGACACCGTTCTTGGAGAGTGTCACAGACACCCTGTCACAGCATTACAATACATTAAATGAATTCACCTCCACCATAATAAAGTACTATATCTGGCTTAGATCATGCTGATATTTTAATGAAGCTGGAATACATACACTTGGGATATATTAAAAAAAAAACCAACATAACATAAACTCCCAAATACTTTATATTGTGACTTTCTGAATGACTTCATTTCCGTTATATCATGATGTGCCAGCTTTTGGATGATGAAACTAAACAGTTCTCTAGCTTTTGGTAAGTCAGGATTGAGCAGAGATTTCAACAAAGGCTTTCTGACAATTTATACGAAGGCTAACATTCATATCAGAAATACAAATATAAATCAGAACTCTGAATCTTGCAAAATGCAGTATATCGTTTATAACCGCTCCTGGGCAAGGTGCGTGTGTACCCAAATCAGAGTCATTTTCAAACCGCTTTGGCAACCTAAGGGAGTTAACTCATCCTGTCATATTACACGTATCATACACAGATTGTGCATTTTGAGGGCAGGGTTTAAGTCAACCATCTAAATTTCGTTTTGTGTCAAGGCTATAGCTTGCCATTTATTTTCCATATTGTCAGAATTTGCTGAGTAAGACGATGCCAAAGGTTATTGATGATGAAAACAAACAGTTCTGGGAATAAAACTCTATTCATTATATTCTCTCAAATATTGTTGTGAACCATGATCGAAGCAGGCAATTCTAACAATATTGAACATGTCAGCAAATTCATTGTTTGCATAGACCAACTGTAATCAGTTTATCTACACTAAATAAAACTTTAAAAAATAGAGTCTGAAAAAACATACAGAATCTGAATTATGTCTGAAAATGAAGAAAGAAAGAGTAATGTTTTTACGTAACATTAAAACTATCACTTAAATTATTTATTTGTTTTAATATTTCAGGATCAATGACCATTACAACAATGACTGAAGAATCAGTAACGCGTTATCATAAATGCATTACATAACCTGGCTGACGCCCTGGAGACAGACGGTGCGCGTTATGCCAAACTTGTTGGAACAATCTTCGTTGCGAAGATAGCAGATGGAACCATTGTAAGGGACCGCTAATAATTTATGGCTTGGAGGCGTAAAATACAACTCGTAAGACATCCAGTGAGCTTATGAAATGTGGAGTCTATTTGGATGGCATACACTTTGGCTGTCGAAAAGAATGCATTGTTTTTCTTGGGATAGGAATCATGATAACATGTAGCATTTCACCTGCCATAATAGCATATAGCCAGAAATATTCACTCATGTCAATACGGCATGTAGACACTAATATTCACTCATGCCATGACGGCATACAGACACTAATATTCACTCATGCAAATACGGCATGCAGACACTAATATTCACTCATACCAATACGGCATGCAGACACTAATATTCACTCATGCCAATACGGCATGCAGACTTATACTCAATATTCATGCAGACACTAATATTCAATACGGCATGCAGACACTAATATTCACTCATGCCAATACGGCATGCAGACACTAATATTCACTCATGCCAATACGGCATGCAGACACTAATATTCACTCATGTCAATACGGCATGCAGACACTAATATTCACTCATGTCATGACGGCATGCAGACACTAATATTCACTCATGCCAATACGGCATGCAGACACTAATATTCACTCATGCCAATACGGCATGGAGACACTAATATTCACTCATGCCAATACGGCATGGAGACACTAATATTCACTCATGCTAATACGGCATGCAGACACTAATATTCACTTATGTCAATACGGCATGCAGACACTAATATCTATTCATTTCAATACGGCATGCAGATACCAATATTCACTCATGCCAATACGGCATGGAGACACTAATATTCACTCATGCCAATACGGCATGGAGACACTAATATTCACTCATGCTAATACGGCATGGAGACACTAATATTCACTTATGTCAATACGGCATGCAGACACTAATATTCACTCATTTCAACTCTGCATCAGACACTAATATTCACTCATGTCATGACGGCATGCAGACACTAATATTCACTCATACCATTACGGAATGCAGACACCTTATATTAACTCATGTCATGACGGCATGGAGACACTAATATTCACTCATGCCAATACGGCATGCAGACACTAATATTCACTCATGTCATGAAGGGATACAGACACTAATATCTATTCATTTCAATACGGTATGCAGACACTGATATTCACTCATGTCATGACGGCATGGAGAAACTAATATTCACTCATGCAAATACGGCATGCAGACACTAATATTCACTCATGACAATACGGCATGGAGACACTAATATTCACTCATGTCATGACGGCATGCAGACACTAATATCTATTCATTTCAATACTGTATGCAGACACTAATATTCACTCATGCCAATACGGCATGGAGACACTTATATTCACTCATGTCATGACGGCATGCAGACACTAATATCTATTCATTTCAATACTGTATGCAGACACTAATATTCACTCATGCCAATACGGCATGGAGACACTAATATTCACTCATGTCATGACGGCATGCAGACACTAATATCGATTCATTTCAATACGGAATGCGGCACCCGTGAAGAGCCACCTCCCCGTTGTGGGTGCTGGGTAACGTTAAGCGCTCTTCGACCCCACGTTGTGGACCCGGGGGGATATTTGGTCCACCAACCCGTTTGCTGTGGGTTGCGCCCCTGTGTCGGTGGAAGACGGGAGTCTGGTGGTTGAGGGCAGTAGGGGCCTGGAACCGTGTTCCTGTTGCCCGACACACCGCTTCGGCCCTTACTTCACCTGGACGGGTGGTTGAACTGGCCCGGTTCAATCAATCGGCTGGTCACGCCAAGCCCTGTGCTACAACTGTAAAATGTTGCCCAAAATTTGAGAATTATTACATGATATTTTTAAGTCTTGGCAATTTTTGAACTTTGAATTTCTGAATTTCAACTGCACAATTTCATGTATGTTTTTGCCTAGAGTCGAATGTCCAGAAGGCGGTGGCTCATGGGCCAATCTGGTGGATTCATTAATCTTCTTAATTTTTCTGCTGGAGTGTGTCATCCGGGTATCCTTGGTGCTGCAAGCCGGAGATCTGCTTGTTTTTAGCATTGTCCTTGTGATACTCCGTGGTGGTTGGGGAGCTCGGATGATGAAATCTAACAAAATATCCATGGCTTATGAAACACCAACAAAAAAAACCAAACGTCCTCTTGACAATGACCCTGTTGATGATGACCACAGACTGCCCAAATCGATTGAGTATTGGCCACGTTTCCTTGTAATCGAGACTCTAAACAAGACTCCATTAAAGTTGAACCCTTTTGCAGTATCTAAGGGTATTCAAGGTATTGCTGGGGATGTAAAGGACATTAAACGTCTCCGTTCAGGTGCGCAATCAACCAACAGCAATCAACCAACTTGATGAATACGGAATTGTTCGTTGGCATTCAGGTCTCGGTCTCTGCTCACAAAACTTTGAACACAAGTAAAGGAATCGTCAGAGACCGTGATAGATTGTTTGCTGACATGACGGAACTTGACATGGTATCAGGGTTGAAAGATCAAGGTGTTCTTTATGTTAAGCGCTTTACAACCCGAAAAAACAAAGAAACTTTCAAAACGAATACCTGTCTGTTTTTCTTTTCATCTCCAAATGCTCCTAAATCGCTGAAGGCAGGTTGCTGTAACATTCCCGTTGATACCTACATCCCTAACCCACTCAGGTGTTTTAAATGCCAGAAATATGGACACGGTGTAAATACTTGTACATTGTCTGTTGTGTGTGCTCACTGTAGTGAGAAGACACACACAACAGCAGATTGTAACAGTACTTTTAAAAAATGCACCAACTGCTCGGGCGACCATTCAGCTTTTTCGAAAGAGTGTCACATTTGGAAAGAGCAAATGGCAATTAACAAAATCACATTTACCCAAAATATCACTTTTTCTGAGGCAAAAAAACTGGTAAAGAGATCTGACCTTCCAGAGAGTTATGCTGCAGAAGCAAAAACACCATCTGAGTCTAACTCTAAAATAACAAAATCATCCACTAGCTGCCAAACAACCTTGACTTGGGTCAAAGGGGACTCTCCACAGAATTTGTACCCTGCGATATCATCTCAGACTGAGGAATCACTTCCTGGTACGTCAAAGTCTTCTTCTGATCATAAATCATCCTCTCAATCACGCTCACTCACTCAATCGTCATCTGACAATCAACAAATTGTTAAAAGTAAAGGTTAGCCTAAGCCTGATGCTATCAAGAAACAAAGTGGAAGAGCTCCAAAAGGGTCGCAAAATAAAATTCAGTTGTTCAACAAATATGGATCTCTTGAGGACATGGACGTATCTGAAAACGTCCATTCTAGGGCACATAGCTTGTCGCCCTCCAAACAGGTGCGGGGTAGATCCCCAGTAAATCCCCCCAAAAGATAGTTTATTCCAATAATATTGTGCAGTGGAACTGCAGAGGACTGAGGACTAGCTTAAGCGATTTGCAGCTATTAGTCCAAGATTTTACACCATCAGCGATCTGTCTACAGGAGACATATTTAAAACAGACAGATACTTTTGACCTTCGTCATTTTAATGCTTATCATTGTTTTTCACCTCCGGGTGATAGGGCCTCTGTAGGATCTTCCATCTTAGTGAAACAGAACGTTATCCATAGCCCTGTTGTACTTACTACTCATCTTCAGGCTGTTGCAGTGCGAATAACTTTGCACGCTGCATTTACATTATGCTCTCTCTACATATCTCCGTCTTCGACTTTTCACAAAACTGATCTTCAATCTCTATATGACCAACTCCCGAAGCCCTGTATTATTATGGGAGATTTAAATGGGCACAACCCACTGTGGGGTAGTGTAAATACAAATGCTAAAGGTAAACTACTGGAGGAGTTTTGTTCAGACAATGATTTATGTATTTATAATGATGGTTCCAACACGTATTTACACCCTGGTACAGGAACCTATTCTGCCCTCGACTTATCAATCACGAATTCAGAATTACTAAATGAATTTGAATGGTCGGTCCATGATGACCTCTGTGGAAGTGACCATTTTCCTACTATACTAAAACCTGTAACCCGATCTGATATTACCCCATATTCAAGATGGAACTTTAAAAAGGCTAACTGGCCTTGTATCAAGCTCTGTGTTGTAGCGGACTTAAATCTGAACTCTTTATAGAATGTACTGATCCTTTGAAGGATTTCTCTGATGAACTAATTAACATTGCTGATGAGTGTATCCCCAAATCCTCTGCAATTCCACACATACGAAAACCATGGTTCAACAATGAGTGCAAACAGGCTAGGAAGGCACGGAAGAAAGCTGAGAATTATTTCCGTCGCCATCCTATGGTCCATAATTTGAATACATTTAAAATTTTAAATGCTAAGGCACGGCGTACCTTCAAGCAAAATAAACGTCAATCCTGGCGAAATTATGTATCCAAAATAAATTCACGAACGCCGATATCAAAAGTATGGAATATGATCCAGAAAATAAAAGGTAAGGGTTCTAAATCTAGCATTAAGCATCTTAAAGATGGAGACGAATTATTAACTAGTAAATCTGATATTGCAAATAAACTTGGAGAAACTTTGGCCAAACACTCTTCCTCATCGAATTATTTACCTCAATTTCAAAATTATAAAAAACAACAGGAAAAGAAAACTATTAATTTCATTTCAGATAATGGGGAAGATTACAATGAACTATTTTCTATTCATGAACTTCATACTGCTCTTGATCAGGCTCACGATACTGCTACAGGTGCTGATAACATACATTATCAGCTTCTGAAGCACTTACCGGAATCATGTTTAGAGACACCTTTTTGATGATATTTGGACATCAGGTAACTTTCCTTCCTCATGGCGTGACGCTATAGTAGTACCAATACCTAAACCTGGACGTGATCATACGGATCCGTCCAATTATCGACCGATTTCACTAACTAGCTGTGTTTGCAAAACCATGGAACGAATGATAAATAATCGACTTGTTTGGTACTTGGAAACAAATAACCTTATAACAGATATACAATGTGGTTTCCGTAAAAACAGAAGTACTGTCGACCACCTAGTGCGTTTGGAATCGTTTGTTAAAAACGCTCTAATTAATAAGCAACACGCCGTGTCTATCATTTTTGATCTTGAAAAGCATATGACACTACGTGGAAGAATATGGCATTTTAAAAGTTTTACATGATTTCGGATTGCGAGGCCGTTTGCCTCAATTCATAACTAACTTTTTAAGTAACAGACAATTTCAAGTCCGCGTGGGTTTTACCCTGTCTGATCATTACAATCAGGATCAGGGTGTTCCACAAGGCAGTATTTTGTCTGTCACTATATTTAGTATCAAGATTAACAGTTTATCAAAGGTTTTAAATGATTCAATTGATGGATCACTTTTTGTGGATGATTTTAATATTTCTTGTCGCGGTAAGAATATGCATACTATTGAACGGCAAATGCAGCTGTGTTTAAATAAAATAAATAAATGGTGTCTTGATAACGGTTTTAAATTCATTAAATCCAAAACTAATTGTATACATTTTTGTAGAAAATATAAGCCGCATAAAGACCCGGAACTGTTTCTCAATGGCACTCCCATCAAAGTTGTAAAGGAGGCCAAGTTCTTGGGGTTTAATGTTTGATTCTCATTTAACGTTTCTGCCGCATATTAAATCCCTTAAAACTAAATGCATGAAGGCACTTGACTTGTTGAAAGTTGTTTCAAATTCTAAGTGGGGAGGGGATCAAGCCACTCTCCTACATCTATATCGATCATTGGTCCGCTCGAAACTTGATTATGGCTCCATCGTATATGGTGGAGCCTGCAAAAGCAACTTAAAACTATTAGATTCTGTCCATCACCAAGGTCTAAGACTTTGTCTTGGATCCTTTAGAACTTCTCCTGTTGACAGTCTCTACGTCGAGGCAGATGAACCATCTCTTACACAACGCCGTATAAAATTATCCTTGCAGTATATAACAAAACTTTATTCTAACAAGTCTAACCCTGCATTCAACTGTGTCTTTAATCCTCTTTATGAGGATTTGTATAACAAAAAGCCTTCTCTTGTTCCACCTCTTGGTTTAAGAATTAAACCATTCTTTTCTGCTGCTGGCATTGAGCTGGAAAATATAGCTCCTTCTCGTCTTCTTTCTTCTCCTCCTTGGCAGTTGGTTAGGCCACAAGTTGACCTAACATTAACAGCATTTAAAAAAGCAGAAACTAATGAATTACAATATAAACAAGAATATAATCAATTAAAAAGTAAATATAATACATATAAATCCTTATTTACAGATGGGTCCAAGGATGGTGGCGCGGTGGCTTGTGCCACTGTCATTGGATCCAGAACAATCTCCTCTCGTTTACCAGATAACAGCTCTATTTTTACAGCAGAAGCAAACGCCATATTAACAGACTTAAAATATATTAAAAAACGCCCTAACTATCAACAATATATCATTTTTTCTGACTCACTTTCTTGCCTTCAGGCTATTAAAAATATTTGTTGTAAACATCCACTTTTATTAGAAATTATTGAATTATATAATGAGCTTGCTACTGGCCAATGCGATATCGTCTTTTGTTGGTTACCCAACCATGTTTGCATTTCTGGGAATACACTGGCCGATCTTGCTGCTAAGGCAACACTCAACAAATCTGTGACACCACTTCTAATTCCATACTCTGATTACAAAGCTAGCATTAGAACTTACATCCGTGATCTGATGCAGAAGAAGTGGGACACCCAAGTAGGTATCAATAAATTACATGAAATAAAACCCTATATCGGTTACACTTACTTGGGTTGTCAGTCCAGATTTGAAGAGGTCATCATGCGACGATGTCGTATTGGCCACACTAGATACACTCACGCATACCTATTGAAAGGTGAGGATCCTCCGTTTTGTATCCCTTGTGATGAGAGAACCACGGTCAAGCATGTCCTGGTTGACTGTGTTGAATTCTCCATCATAAGGGATAAATACTTCAATGTGAAAACAGTTAAGGATCTTTTTAACACTGTTAATTGTCATTTAATTATTGGCTTTTTAAAAGAAATTGATTTAATGAATGAATTTTGAATAATATGTTCTGTACATATATGTATTTTAATTATTGGTAGATTTGATTAGTAGCTTAGATTGTTAGTGGCAGTGCCCTCAAAGGGGGTTGAAGTAGCGTAAAATTATTGTCCTCTTGAGAGGGTACGTAAGTCCCAAAACATTCAAAGTAAATTTAAACCTACTACTCTTTTAATCGTAGAATATATGTTCGTTTAATTTATGGCTAGATTATCTTACATTGCTAATAGCTGAGAGGAAGGTGTAAATCCAGCTAGGGACCATGCAGGAAGCAAATGTACTATAAGTCCCCATGGTCCCTAGTATGGTGATCTACCTTCAGTTGTTGGCAATATATAGCCTGTTTTTTACCTTGTATTGTCCTATAGTTAGACTGTTTTAGATTTGATTGCTAGTTTTAAATACGAATCTGTGATAATCTAGTTATTTTACTGTCCTTCGTTGACAGGTTTTTATAGTTTACCATTGCTTACTATGCATAAAATTAATTGTTCTCGTCACGATATGGCTGAAATATTACCGATGTGACGTTAAATAATAACTCACTCACTCACTCAATACGGAATGCAGACACTAATATTCACTCATTTCATGACGGCATGGAGACACTAATACATGAGTCAATTCGAAAACATATGAGTACCTTTCTTTAGCTATAATATATTTTTGACAACCAGTGCAGTTCTATCGCTAAACGTGTTTCTTTTTCAGTATCGCGGACAGTGTTTGTCACAAACATATTTCGGGCATCAATGACATGGTTAACGTAAAATGCATTTGAGTAATATGTATTTATATTGAATTAATAAAGCTATTAATTAATATACTGCAATTCATAAACAGCTATGTGTTACCAACTTTATCAAGTTGATGTTCTATTCATATTTGGCCACATTGACTCTGTCATTTCCTTTTCAATAAAAGTATGTAATTCCAAATTAGAATTTTTGTTTGTTTAATTTGTTATTTATTTTCTAAATACATTTGTTCTGCTTAGCAATATTTTTTGTAACTATTCCAAATTAAAAACTATTTTGTACATATTCAATATATTTATATTTGTTAGAACTATTTGAGATCAAATAGTTTCTAACAAATATCAATATTGATATGTACAAAATAGGTTTTAATTTGGAATAGTTACAAAATATTCAATAGAGACAATTGGCTTTATGCAATGTAAAATGCATGTGTATAAATACTTGAGGTACTAATATAAATACTTTGTAAACTAGTTGGTAGGCTTAATAATTTTACTCTCTTCCAAGTTCATGGGATGACTTTATGCCAGTTCAGGTGACAGAATGACTCTAAGATACATGAAATAAATTGTTTGTTGTTTTGCAAATGTGAAAGAAAATGCATTATAAATTTTACTTTGGATAGATGACAGGGATCTGCATGTGTCAAATTGTTTCTTTGCCATGCTGTAAATATACTGATAATGATACATTGAATACAGGAATTGGGATGGAGACCTTCGACATTTTCAGGATTATTAGCCATTTTCTGAATTTAGAATGGGCCACTGCCCTTGTATCAATAGTAAACTTCATAATTTTAATGGGGCATTTTTATTCTAATGTGCAAAATGGCCAGTCTTTCCCAATGCCTGGAATAAATAGCAGTTCTTGTGACATTATAATTTTTTTTATAAATATATGAACTTTCCCATTTATGGTGACGTTTTTATTCACACAAGAAGTCATAGTGTCACAAATCGATCAACAGCTCGACAAAATAACCTTGATGGCATGGTTACAATTATTTCGGTTACTACTGTCAGATATTCAAAACAAAAATGTGAAAACCCTCAGCCATATGAATATTCATCATGAAGCAATTATTTATCAAATTATGTAAACATTATTTTAGAGGTGATATATAAAAACTGGTTGTTGGACAACATTTATTACACTTTGTACTAGATGTCTTGGAGTGAGTGAACAATGTACTATGATCTAAAGTACATGAGTGTTACTTAGTTCTTGGTTATGCAGGGGTGAGGTTCTGCTAGGCTGTAAGCAAAATATGAAGCAGCACACAGCACCTTCAAGTCACAATTGGCAAAAATGCAAGACCAAATACACTCAAAATGTGGAGTAATCACTCAAAGACATTTCCTGTATTGTAAAATATACTGATCAATACATGGGGAAACTAAATGTGCATATATACTATGTCATGACTGTAGATTCTGCAGACACTGGCTGATAGCAGCATGAGTATAATTACTTGTCATGTAATATAGTGTTTTTCACCCATATTTAGTAACTTACATATTCCAAATATTCTGCCAATGAGGCCAAGGTTGGTAACTGGCATTCCATATTTTCCACTATACAGTTAGACCAATATGTCTTAAAATAATGGAAAAGAATAATGTGTACTGGTTATTGTGCTATGAACCAGTGTTGTAATCTTACAGCAAATAAAAACAAAGAATTTCATATTTCAATAAAATTCCATGTCATGTAGAATCACATGCCTATGCCATTGATTAAGTGTAACTTTTCATTGGAAAGCATGTTTTGTCATGGAAACTGGAGTAGTAGGGTAACCTAGTGGTTAAACTGTTGAAAAACTGAAGTCCCGGGTTTGATTCCCCACATGTGTGCAAAGTGTGAAGCCCATTGCTGCTCTCCCCAGCATTATGTTGCTGGAATATTGCTAAAAGCAGTGTAAAACCCAATTCTCTCACTTGGAAACCTTTGCTATATACACTGAAAATCTAATCTCCTACATCCATCGTTGTATATTTACTGTCAACTCAATATCATGGCTAAAAGCAGAATTCTTCCAAACCATTCAATTTGTGCTTGCTTTATCCACACTTAAAAAACAATAAACAAGTTTTAGAACTATTCTGCAAGTTTATTCCAAAGACATAATTACTCATAACATATCAAACATTCTTTGCATTTCCCAGATGCTAAACCTGAAAAAATACTGTAACAGCATCATCTGGAATACAAATGTTCTTTCATGGTCACTCATCTAAATTCTCACTGAATTATCTGAGAGTCCCATGATGTCACAAGACTTTCCAAAACACCTTGCTGGTTACAAGCATTTCCTGTTCCAGCAAGTTTCCAAAGGATGATGTGTAGGGCTTTAATATGTTTTATAACTGTACATACAACACTTCAATGACTTGCTGTTTCTTCATTTGCAATGTACATATATTGCTTGACCACCAGATGTTAAAAGAAATCTGAAGATGTTTCAGTTTGTGTTGCTCTTGATGTCAATGGTAATTGTGGTGATAAAGAAATCTATTCCTCCTTCTTTCTCCTCTTAAAGATGTGCATCTATTCCAACTGACTGACTGACTGACTGACTGAGTTTGGTTTTACGCCGCTTTTAGCAATATTCCAGCAACATCACGGCTGGGGACGCCAGAAATGGGCTTCACACCTATTCCAACTGAAAAAAATACATAACACACGTTAGACCAAGTATGATATACTTAATAAAATGTAAACACTAAAACAGTTCCTTACAATGTTGACATCAAGATATTATTGATAAATTAAGCATGTGGATGTTATGTTTAACTGAACATGCTGCACCATAACCAAATGCTAAATGGGGCTGTAATAATATATTAATCAAGCTCATATTACAGAATACATTTGTGAGAGACACCTATTCAGAGCTATTGGTATCAATCAAAGTGTGGATATATAATCATCATTGTTTACGCACTATTAAATTATTTTTTAATTCATTACATTTTTTTTTTTTAGAATTACACCTGGATTTTCATTGCACATTAAGTTATCTTCTGGATAATTCCAACTGCAAGATACTTTATTTATTAACACAGTTTTTTGGATACACATGCATTATACCGGATACCTGCCTGTCATATTTTATTAGGTCCCCTCTCCGGGGTACAATAAAATCCCACTGTAAGATATCAAATGCAATCAAACGATTAACCAATCTGTACACATGTCAACTCCACCCTTACTGTGCGTGCCATGCTTAAACAATACCAGCCTTTAAATGAAAACAAAGAAATCCATGTAACAAACTTACCTCGACTAATGGCCAGCCTGAAGACGACGCTGTGACAACTCTGCATCTGTTTGGCAAATATTCTCGTGCTGTTCATGCAACATTGCCTTAGTGCTTTAGCAGTCCATAGTCTGTTACATGGCATAGGTTTATGATTCACACAGCCAGTGTCGAGTATGATTATCCACGGCATACCCCATGTAACAGTGTTATCGCCATTGCCGAAAAACGTTGTTTGTCACCGGAAGTACTAAACAACGTAATCTCTCGCGAAGTGCCGTGACCTACTTACGGGCCCTATATTCACTCATGCCAATACGGCATGCAGACACTAATATTCACTCATTTCAATTCTGCATGCAGACACTAATATTCACTCATGTCATGACGGCATACAGACACTAATATCTATTCATTTCAACACGGTATGCAGACACTCATATTCACTCATGCCAATACGGCATGGAGACACTAATATTCACTCATGTCAATACGGCATGGAGACACTAATATTCACTCATTTCAATACGGTATGCAAACACTAATATTCACTGTTGACATGACGTTGAGCAGACACTTATATTCAGTGGATACATGTATGATTGCACCCATTTTTCTCAGTGGATCCTTGTTTGAATGCTCCCAATCAATGAATATTTGATGAATAAACATACTTGTATTCAATGCAGCGATATTTTGACTTTCTTGATATCAACAAATTTGGTTATTTCTTGATTTTGTTTTTGTTTAACGATGCACTAAATGCTGCTATGTAACGACTGTCTGTAAATATTTGAGCCTGGACCAGACAGATCAGTGATTGACGTTATGAGCATCGAGCAACACAATTGGGACACAAGCGATGATATGCATAAGCCTAGTCAGCATGCATGCAATCCGGTTCCAATGATAATTCTAATTCTAAACCGGATCTTCTCGGGTCGGTAATAATTGACCGTGGCTATACATAAGGCATGTATACAGGTTCATTTTGATTAAATCGATCAATACTTGCATCTTTACGAGTCCAGTTCCATTCTAGTCTTTAACATGTAGCATTTTGCTGGTTGTTAAAGTTGCTTAAGTCATGCTTCTGAGTGATTTTCAGCCCCAACATGTAGATAATCAGTGGCTATTCACAATCAATGATTATTGACAAGCAATGAATATTGACATCAATGATTACTGACAATCAATGAATATTGACATCAATGATTACTGACAATCAATGAATATTGACATCAATGATTACTGACAATCAATAGATTTTGACATTAATGATTATTGACAACAATGATTATTGACATCAATGATTACTGACAATCAATGAATATTGACATCAATGATTACTGACAATCAATGAATATTGACAATGATTATTGACATCAATGATTGCTGACATCAATGATTATTGACATCAATGATTATTGACATCAATGATTATTGACAATCAATGATTATTGACATCAATGATTATTGACATCAATGATTATTGACATCAATGAATATTGACAGCAATGATTATTGACAACAATGATGATTGACATTAATGATTATTGACAACAATGATTATTGTCATCAATGATTACTGACAATCAATACTTATTGACATCAATGAATGTTGACAACAATGATTACTGACAATCAATGATTATTGACAACAATTATTACTGATAACCAATAATTACTGACAATCAATGATTTTTGACATTCAGTGGTTTTGACAATAAATGACCATCAGCACTCATGCCAATACGGCATGCAGACGCTAATATTCACTCATGTGATGACGGCATGGAGACACTAATATTCACTCATGCCAATACGGCATGGAGAACTAATATTCACTCATTTCAATTCTGCATGCAGACACTAATGTTCACTCATGTCAATACGGTATGCAGACACTAATATTCATTCATGTCAATACGGCATTGATATTTGATGTCAATTGATGCAGACACAATGTTATATTCACGGTATGGATACATGTGACATGATTGCACCCACTTATTTCTGGATACAATGGATCCTTGTTTGATCCTTGTTTGAATGCTCCCAATCAATGAATATTTGATGAATAAACATACTTGTATTCAATGCAGCGATATTTTGACGGTAATAATTGACCGTGACTATACATAAGGCATGTATACAGGTTGATTTTGATTAAATCGATCAATACTTGCATCTTTACGAGTCCAGTTCCATTCTAGTCTTTAACATGTAGCATTTTGCTGGTTGTTAAAGTTGCTTAAATCATGCTTCTGAGTGATTTTCAGCCCCAACATGTAGATAATCAGTGGTTTTTGACAATCAATGATTATTGACAATCAATGATTATTGACAATCAATGAATATTGACATCAATGATTATTGACAATCAATGAATATTGACATCAATGATTACTGACAATCAATGAATATTGACATCAATGATTACTGACAATCAATGAATATTGACATCAATGATTACTGACAATCAATGATTATTGACATCAATGATTACTGACAATCAATGAATATTGACATCAATGATTACTGACAATCAATGATTATTGACATCAATGATTATTGACAACAATGATTATTGACATTAATGGTTATTGACAACAATGATTATTGACATCAATGATTATTGACAATCAATGATTATTGACATCAATGATTACTGACAATCAATGAATATTGACATCAATGATTACTGACAATCAATGAATATTGACATCAATGATTACTGACAATCAATGATTATTGACATCAATGATTATTGACAATCAATGAATATTGACATCAATGATTATTGACATCAATGATTATTGACAATCAATGATTATTGACATCAATGATTATTGACAATCAATGAATATTGACATCAATGATTACTGACAATCAATGAATATTGACATCAATGAATGTTGACAACAATGATTACTGACAATCAATGATTATCGACAACAATTATTACTGACAATCAATGATTATCGACAACAATTATTACTGACAATCAATAATTACTGACAATCAATGATTTTTGACATTCAGTGGTTTTGACAATACATGACCATCAGCACATTGATAAGTCGTTCACGTGACACAATCTGCTGACAGTGTTTTGAAATACTACACAACGGCAAAGACTGAAACACAATCATTGGAACATATCAGTCAAACTCTGTTCAGTAATTCACATTTCCAGGGGACAATTATGATAAATCATGTTTGGCTTTGGAAATAATCCATACATGCTTCTGCCTGATTACGCATTGTATTCCAGGGCATTTATTTCTGCGCATTAACTTTCACAAAGTGTATGCCTCAATTGATTGGACACACATTTCAATATTGATTGGTTCAGGATGGGAAGAGGGCTGTGAGGAATCTCATGGTACATAAATAACATTATCGTAATAAAGTGTATTCTGAATTATGATATTAATATTACAGAGGCAAACATTACATGAACATTCCTGGATCCTCCCTCCTACTTAGTATCTAACCATGCACCGTAAAACCACCCTTTTCTCGTGGGAACAAAGGAATTGACGTTTCGGCTGAGTCGGTTATACAACAACATGACTGCACAGAATATATACCTGGTAAAAAGCACTTTTTCCTCAGTAACTGAAGTTTTGCTTGGAATTGCTGATCAATAATTCTCAGAAACCGTTTGATCAATGACGCACTTTACTCACTCGACTTGATCCAGACGACAATGGGGTTCGGAGGAATCTCACACGTATAACTATATGCGAGAATGTCTTGTTAATCTTTAATCCTATCAAGACCACAGGACATGTAGCAAATCTATAAGTATAAGATTCCTCGTGGAAGTAGAGGCAGGAATTCATATTGCTCATACGCTACTGAGACCCACCACCCCTAAACGATAATAACATTAGGTTCACCGATATCCACTGATAGATCACATGACTATCCGTGTACCTTATAAGGTGTAGCAACGCCTCTTGAATACCCATGCTGCAGCTGTTTCTCTTCAGTACATGCACATCAGACTTCTATAGTTCCGATACGAGGTAAGGAACCCGAGATGTCGGTTAGGTAGAAATGGTTACCATAACTTGATAATCATAACATTCAATGCCAACAGATGTACGTCCAAACTTGGGCTCGGTGGTTATGTCATTCCTTCCATCCATTGGGAACGTTGACTCAGGGGACGTTTTCGTCGTCGAAAAGAACTGATTAGGTAAAGGTGCAAACAAACAAACTCACTAAAAACAACAACAAAAATAGCAACAAAACAAATAAAACTAAATTTTATGCAACATAATCCTTACAGTGGAAACATTTTTCTTGTGTCGTCAGTTTATTACCAGAAACTAAATTATTTTTGTGAGATAAGTTTGTAATAAATTTAGTTTTAATTAAACCCTACTATTTAAAAATGCATATTGCTTATCACGAGGGGGAAAAGGTGTATTTATTCATGTCAGAACTAACTTGACGTATACTCTCAACATTATGAAACATTCTTTTGCCTCTTAGACTATTGTGTTACAGATATCGCATCTGGATAGTTTGTAGTAAGGCTGAATATATACCAACTGAGGATTGACATTTTTCATAAACTAACATTGACCTTGGATTTCAAATCGTTTGTTCATGTCTTGGAATTCCCACAAGATACATATTCGTCCAGAATTAAGAGTATAATTTTCCCTGAAATTCCTGGACGAAGGAAATAACTAGGCGTAATTAAAATAAAACGTTTTCAAACGAATCATGGAAATTTTATTTCAATTTGTTGGATATTGAAATGTTGTCCTGGATGCAGCAGTCTTGACATGTTTGGTCAACTGCAGTATCGTAGCAATACCTGATGTGTGATTGCGAGCATATTCTAGGGTAAGTTATTGATACTTTAAAAACAAGCTATCATTGTACAATGGGTTCCGCAGATGTTTTTTCTTTTTCTGCAGCATTATGAGTCTCCAAAATTTACGCGAAGTAATAACATCACTGGGATGTCTGGCGGACAGTCTTGACGAAGATTTTGCTTTCTATGCGAAGACTAAAAGAGGTAGTGCTGGCGTTGGTATATTGGGTGGTGTGTGTGTACTCTCTGGATTCCTTATTGCGCCTCCAGTTGTCTTAGCAGGTTCACTATTGTTATTATGGGCTGGAACTGGTGGATTAGTCTCTCGTTTAGCTGAACACTGTTCATTGACACAGCATGTAAAGCTTGCACAGAAAAACCTTGACGATTTATCTAAGGAAATGTTACAGATGTTGAAACGTGATAAAAAGGACGCTCTGGACGGAATATGCATAAATGCTTTTACGATTTTAAGTTCCATTCTAACAATATCGCTTAGAAATGGTCAGAAAGTAGCCTGTTCAAGCGCACTGGAAATGTTAAAGACTTTTTCCAGAGTAGGTGGGCCATTTACCATTGTTTCAATAGGTTTGAACATTACGGAATTTGTGAAACACGGAGTAAACACTAAGCATGGATATTCTGCAACTGCAAGACATATACGGGAGGTTGTCCGGCAACTCAAGGAGATCAACGGGGCCTAATATCAGTGCCACAAAATGCAAATGATATTGATTTGAAGTGTGTTTCCGGAAGTTGATAAACTTTCTGTTATTTGTATTTCAAAGGATCGGTACAGCTCAGTCATGAATGACTTCAGGAACATCAACATGGCAGAACTGCGAGAAGTGAAGCAGGCTTTGCATAAAATGGCTGGTGCTGTGGATGAGGACAGCAAGTATTATGATTCCAAAAAAGAAAACTATCCGCGTAACATTTCCTGTTGGTGGAGCGATTTATGTCACAGGAGTAGTGTTATCCAGAATGCCTTACATTGGTGGAAGTGCGTCCAAACTTTCTTGTTTCGGAGCTGGGTTGGCTGTGTTGTGTGTTGCATCTCATGTGTTCACTATTGTTGCTGAACGTGCTGCAGGTACACAGTACATGCGACTCGCATACCGCAACCTTGAGGAATTGAAAGGCTCCCTCGAATCGTCCGGAAATAGAACTGGAATCATGAACACGGTAACTGACGCACTAGCAGTTTTAAGTTTCTTAAGGAAACGTTTAGGGATTAAAAACGTTCTTTTTCTCAAGACCTGCACACTTTTTGAGCTATCTACCAATACCCGCAAGATTCTAGACAATTTATATAACTCGTAAGAATGGTCATGTTCCACTTTTATGTAGGTGGATCTTGCCCTCAGATTTGTGAAGAGTGCTTTCTGTACAACCCCTAGATTCTAGGTCGGTTTTTCGAACTATAACAATTATGTGATTGAATCTCTTTGTCAGTGACCCCCTCCGTGGTGTAGTGGTTAGAGAGTCCGCCAGGAGAGCGGAAGGTCGCGGGTTTGTTCCCCGACCGCGTCATACCAAAAGACGTTAAAATATGGTACTTGTTGGTCCCTGTCTGGCACTCGGCATTAATGGGTACAACAAGGACTGGTCGGCTAGGAGTCAGTATAATGTGTCTGAGTGGGGTATTCATGCTTCACTGCGGCGTGGTATCTCAGTGGGCTAGCTCTATAAAACCAGCTAAAGTCTGGCCTAGTACAAGCAGCCGCACATACACATACACACGCCTGCACGTCGTCATATGAGCGAAATATTCTCAAGCACGACTTTAAACCCAATTTCACCTCACCTCACCTCTTTGTCAGCGAACGCGGGACTGAGGAAAGCAAAACATTTCAGCTTTTAGTGCATCCCGGTGTGTTGCAATGTGGTGTGGTGTGGAGGGCTTGGTGTTGCAGGTGTGGTGTGGTGTGGCATGGCGTGGCGTGGCGTGGCGTGGGTAGGGGTGGTAGGTTAGGTTGTCGTGGGGTGGGGTGACATGACGGGTTTTTTTTATTGTGTCGTTTAGCCCACATTTTAATATCCCCTAAGTCCTGATAGGATGAACCTGTTGACTGCCTCCAGACAGACACAGTTCCAAGCATTCATAAGCAGAACATATGACCGATCTTGGTGTCCATCTAAGGCTACATCTTATTGTAACATGTCTGAAAGGAAATGAGAATACACAGGGAACATGGGAACATTTATATTATATAATTCATATATTTTGTTTAGATGTTTTACTGAGGTCTATCTAGTGTTTTATGTTGAATCAGTGATGCAATTATTTGCCTTACTGTTTTACTGTGCGAGTTTCAGCTACAGCCAAACATCTTTGTGTCGAACTTGGATGTGTCGAACAACGGTTGTCACGAAGTCAAAGTTTGGATTTTACGTACTGTGTTCATGAGTGAGTGAGTGAGTTTACACCCACGACTTGATAGAACCAGGGAGAGTCTGATACAAGCGACGTTAACCCGAATCCACACCCCTCTATAACGTTGATTAATTAGGTATGATAACTAAATACCTGCTGTTAAAGGTTAGCTTGGTCAGGGAAGTGTACTGATATTTGAAATTCTGAATGAATGAGGAATAAACATTTTGAATATTCCAGAATCCAACGAATAGAAGACTTAACCATATTGGCATCGAACACGAGTTCTTATTATTTAGTGAGTGAGTGAGTGAGTGAGTGAGTTTAGGTTTACGCCGCACTCTGCAATATACCAGCTATATGGCGGCGGTCTGTAAATAATCGAGTCTGGACCAGACAATCCGGTGATCAACAGCATGAGCATCGATCAGCACAATTGGGAACCGATGACATGTGTCTACCAATGCAAGTCAGCGAGCCTGACCACCCGATCCCGTTAGTCGCCTCCGACGACTAGCATGGGCTACTTAAGATCAATTCTAACCCGGACCTTCACGGGTATCTGTGTTTATGAATTTCATCAAGTATTTACATAGGTCCCTTCAACTTCGACACATCGGTATTTGACTGCATGCATCACGTGGTCACGTTACCAAATTTCCAGTAGAAGTTTTTTATCCATTAATATATGAAACAGCTTTTAGGACAGATAACAACTAAACTGCCATGAAAAAGAATACATAAACCTTTGTTTGATGGTAATTGAAAATGGAACAAACATGGAATGATTAATTGACAACGGTGTATTTTTTACGCCTATCATAGCTTTGTTTCAGATCGAAACTTTGCAGATTTTCGGTTACTGTTTTCGGCCTAGTAAAGTTTCATACTATTTGTAGTTTGGGATCACCCAATTCACTGTTCAAACTTGTACTTTCTGTTGCCTATTGTTTAAATGGCAGACTACTTTCTAGGTATTTAGAAAAATACACATGATGTGCTTTTCGTGTTAGGACAGCAACTCTATGGATTGATGTACTCGTGATACCGATTTATGTACAATGTTCTTATGGTGCCTCTATGGTTTTCTTGTACTATACGGAATAATGTTTTTTTGCATGCTGCTATATTATATCTTTAATTTCCTATTTCATATATTTGTTGGTGTGTTGAAACATTATGGATGGTCAGCAATAGACTGAACAACCTTCTGGTGTTGGCGATCTATAGCCTGTTTTTATATTGTATTGTCCAAATAGTGCTATCAGTTTTAACTCTCCACACTACTTTTAGTTGTAATTGTGATATTCTAGTTCTTTTACTGTCCATTGTCGACAGGTTTTTTATAACGTACATATATTCCATTTCACTGTCAAATGTTCTCATTTCACATTTTATTGTGTAAATTGTTTTCGTCACGATATGGCTGCAATATTGCTGATGTGACTCACTCACTCACTCACTCACTCACTAAACAAACATATTCGTCAACACACCTGATTTTTCAAATGTTTCCTTTCAGTGTGGCGGTTGTTTTAATTAATTGAAGGTATTAGCCATATTTCATTACTTTAATATTCACAATTGAAACTGATAATATAATGTTTGCTTATTTGATTGTGTATTCGGGAATTTTGTTTACGACTGTATATGCCCGTCACTTCTATTTGACTCATACGTTCTTGCTTACAGTAACTAGCCCATTGACGTGATATATCAATATTATGCTTTTGTAGTATTTTTGTGGGTTTCAATAAAATTGAATCAAAAAGAAGTTTGTTTGTCATTTTGCTTCAAATTTCCAATCATATATTGTAGAATAGTATCCCTGATTGTCATGAGCTTTGGAACGTGCAATGCAATGACGAACGCCTGACAATGGTTTCTCGCTGGTTAACAGGTAATGTAAGTGTAGTGTGGTATCTACATTTAACCACTGCATTATCACATGACTAATGTATGGTCGAATTGAGTGAGTGTACCTATTGTCAATGTTACGAATCAAACCCGAAATATGACACTCTCCGGGAATATACACAAATGCACGTCAAGCTTGTTGAAGGAACAAGCGGATCGACTGGTCAGAATCCGCGACATTGATAGTTGCTCATACCATCACACACTGGAATGCCTGGTTCTATGATTTTTGTTTTGCTGGAATGGGTTGGGCGTCAGTGTAACTGCTGTGTGACTGAACTGAAACATCGTATGCCATCGTATGTATTACATATACACTCCTAAAGTTGATTTTTCTAAGACACGGAGACAATGCTGGACTTAGCCCGTGGGCATCCGACACCCGTTGGTCACTCGTGTTCAACCCGTCCGCCACGCGTATTCATCCCGTGTTCAAAGCTAGGTTTCCAACTTTCCATATGTACGTATTGTCTGCGTAATTGCGTGATTCGTAGTCCGTAGTGCCTTTTACGTGTGCGTGGTGTCCAATTCCATGTGTACCTGTATAAAGCCAATGTGGTGCGTAAAATCAAGTCTTCCTTTCTTGTGTGCGCAATGGAAACCACGTGACGCTGGAAAAACCCATTGGAAATCCCCACTTCCGACCTCCGTATAGCTGAGTGATGCGTATTCGGACACTTTTTGAGCGTAAGCAATATCATCCACTACGCAGCACGCAGCACGCATTCATGGAAACGGCTAATATACCACCTATGAAAAGTTTAGACTCAATTAAAACACTCACTATATGTTATGAATATATACATGGTTACAACGAAGATAAAGTTCTCCACTAATTTAGGGGAAACAACTGCAAACCTTATGCAGATGAATAATACGAGGATCATACATCAAATTGCTGAAAAGCATATGCAAATATCACCACACAAAATGACTGTATTACCTAAATTTACTAACGTCAGGAAATACTCGTTTCATCCGGCGGCCATATGAACAACGTTTGAAATCTACGTATCATCTGGCCGTCAGATTTACACACGTTTAAAGGGGTGTTAAAATAAACGAACAGTCGGCTCTGCATTTACATGTATTTCACAGGTGTGTAAATCTGGCCATTGTTTCCATGTGTTTCCTAACATGTGTAACAGTTGTAAATGCTGTGATTGTAGGACATGCATTTCAATACCCTTGAAATCTCGTATGACCAGGGTGAGGTTTGTCATATATTTTGTACATGCGTAAATGGTTGGAAATGAGTAAGTATAGTGTTACAAGATTAGCACTACTTTAACATGTATTTCAATGGTGCTGTAATGTAACTGTCACATAGGGTTCGTTAGCGAGTCCGACCACGCCATAATGTACTGAGATAATTAGAAACACATGGTGAAGTGATACCCATGACTGAGCACCACTAATAACGTGTGTGTCTTTCTTGACATACACATGGTGTCTATTTAAAAGGTTCAAATATCGGGTCTATGGGCCAGAGCGATATTTATGTTAGGGAGTGTGTGTGTGTGTGTGCGAGGGAGAGGGTGTGGCAGTGGTCGGTGTTGGGGTACTGATAAGTCTTTCTGACCAATAGGTCATATCATTTATACATTTTGTTATGGAATTTACATAACAGTCTAAATATCTGACCTTAGGTACACTTCTTATATATGCTATACAAGGAGACACTGCTAATTACAATAAAACACAGACGAATGTGTTCACACAGACATGAACCGGTAGGTCCCTAATTTTAGTGCTCACTTGTATGAGTTATCCGACTGATCATAACTGAACAAATTTCATTATGTATACTTTCATAAAAGATGATTACAATGTATTAATGATTCCCGGTGTAAATTACTGTTGTAAATGTGTGAACATGCACATATTTGGTATGACCTCTTTTTGATTCGGAATACAGGTATTATTCCATACGGACGTTTTCTCAAATTTCAGTTACCCAACGGGATATACTGTAGACATATTTTGTTTCCACCTCTTGGGTAGACTAAAGAAAATTGTAGTGATTGCAATTAGCTCATAATTTTCATATTATACCTATTTTGTTTCCATCTGTTGGGCAGACTATAGGAAATTGTAGTGATTGCAATTAGCTCATAACTAAGCAGTTTCGATAATTGTTGAAAGCTTACTACCTGACAGCATTATGTTGCTCATGCGTTTTTTTTTTTGCTTTTGCTTTTTGCTGTCTAATTTGTTATACATTATATAATTATGTTAATCATTTTGGTATCTCAATATCATGGAATATAATATGTACTTATAAATCTATCAAAGTACCGAAACGTATTATCTGTATGCTTTACTGTTATTGGGTGAAACTGTTAAAAGTACCTTCGTACAGAATTTCGTGGAAAGAGAAACAGAATCAGTGGAAAACTAAATTGGATAAAGATCGCAAACAATCATTATTTATATTCCACTTTTTAAATTATCAGTGTGCAGATCATGTCACTAACATACAAACTGAAGGATATATGGTGACAAAGCTGGATTCAATCTTGAATGTATAATAAATGTACCAACAGTATCAAGGAATGATGGGATACGCTCGTGGCTAAAGCGTTCGCCTGTCAGGTCAAAAAACCGGAGTTTGATTCCCGCCAAAGGCACATTAAGACTGGAAATATATTATTTTGATAAAAGGCAAAGAGCTTAATTTCAATTGAAAAAAAGAGACGAAGTAATTTGGAAGATTCACAGACTAACAACATCTATATTGGGGCTACAGGTGCAGGAAGCATCTTCAATTATAAAATCACATTCCACAAATATCAGATAAAGGTTTAAATGACAAGCATATTTATTGGTATCTTGCCAAGCTCTGTCCTCTCTCAATGCAGTATAACCAGAGTGCTGTGGTCACTACCTCCGGTGGCCAAATTCAGCAATCCCATTACTTTACAGTATTTTCTTACAGGCATATATATGGAAAGTTAACTTTTACGGGTATGGAAAGAGTGGAGGGAAACACGTGCAAAGTATTAGTACACTGATATTATCCTTCAAAAACATCATATGTACAACAATCACTTATCATTATGGCATTACAAAAAAGGCCATATTTCCAGACAGCAAAACATCACCTTTTGCTGGAGTTCCAAATAATTTGACACCGAAAGCCTGTCAGTTAACGCAAAGGAAATAACCCTTGTGTTTTAAAGTGATAGTCACAATGAAGTGTAGGTTGCCATGCATTTTATATTCTGTCTCACAGTCCCTGAACCACATTATTTCCCCTACTGCCAAGCCCTCTGTGCAATGCTAAAGCCTTAAATGAAGCAAGTCTAGATCTCCTCAGGTCCAGGGTCTGTTAACATCTGCAAGAACCCTAACTCACTTTGGGGGTCGGGTTACAAAGTAAACATATCTATAGCTAACTGCCATGGCTCGCCGGACTGAATCTCGTGTCTCCCTGGGGCTCA